ATAATACTTTTCCACTCTCCATATGTCTGAAATTAAGACTTTATTTTCTTTCTTTCATGTATGTTTGTAAAGCAAGTACAACATTAATTAAACATACTGTGCAAGCTAATTTAATTAGCTTTAATTATATAATAAATATCAGATTACAGTCATTATAATCTAATATAATTTTGAGTATAAAAAGCCCAGTAATAACAGAAAAATAATGATGATATTAATAACAATTTAAATACAATAACAACATAACTAGTAACAATACACACAATAATAGTAATAACAATATATAAATGGTAATTATACATTTGATATTTACAGGTCTCCCTCTAATTAAATACCACCTAAAATTAAATGCAATGTCTGCAACGCTTATAGTTTTATCGTTCATAGCTATTACTTTTCTAATTAGAGACTACAGTCAATCAACCTTAGTCACAAAAGTGGTCTTTTATTGGAGGGCAACCTATATAACAATAATGTAACATAAAACTGAAATTATATAGCATATATTTTCATGCTGCTCTTATTAACATAATTTAGCATTCTAATAATTACTAATAAAACTACTTGGAATTAACAGCTCAGTGTATATCAAGGTTCAAGGTTTATTTTATTTATAAGGTTTACGAAAGAGAAACGACCATTGCATTATTTATGGGAGGCGTGTATTCCAAATGAGGCTCCAGAGGGGGTTTATTTGAGGGGAAGTTTATAATTTAAGTGGGAGGTGCTATTAAAATAAATATGTTAATTGTTCAAAAATGAAAAATTCAGTAATATCTTTTTATATATGTAAGTAAAATGAAATTTAAAATAGTAAAAGTATTGTATTCTTTGGATTGGATAGATTAGAATTTCAACTGAAAATAATGAACATTTAATACATTACATAGTGTAGTAAACTCTTAACAGTGGTGTTAACATGGGTATAATAAGTTCTAGAGAAGACAAATATGATACCTGTTGGCTGGTATTAATAACAATGATGCAATGGATGTTAACTAATGAAGTGATTATGGTCAATATAAGGCAATGTTGTTTACAGATGATAAACTTACAATAAAATGCTTATGTAAAATAGAGAATGCTTTATTTAGAGTTATAAATTAAAGACAATTTGTACTGTTGTTCAGGTGGAATTGAAAGCATGGGTGGGATATTCTTTTCTGATGCTTATTATATATCTAATGGTCCACTATGAAAAACAAAAGAATAATTACTCAAAGAAGTTTTAAGGTTTACGAAAGAGAAACGACCATTGCATTATTTATGGGAGGTGTATTCCAAATGAGGCTCCAGAGGGGGTTTATTTGAGGGGAAGTTTATAATTTAAGTGGGAGGTGCTATTAAAATAAATATGGTAATTGTTCAAAAATGAAAAATTCAGTAATATCTTTTTATATATGTAAGTAAAATGAAATCTAAAATAGTAAAAGTATTGTATTCTTTGGATTGGATAGATTAGAATTTCAACTGAAAATAATGAACATTTAATACATTACATAGTGTAGTAAACTCTTAACAGTGGTGTTAACATGGGTATAATAAGTTCTAGAGAAGACAAATATGATATCTGTTGGCTGGTATCAATAACAATGATGCAATGGATGCTAACTAATGAAGTGATTATGGTCAATATAAGACAATGTTGTTTACAGATGATAAACTTACAATAAAATGCTTATGTAAAATAGAGAATGCTTTATTTACAGTTATAATTTAAAGACAATTTGAAAGCATGGGTGAGATATTTTTTTTCTGATGCCTATTATATATCTAATGGTCCACTATGAAAAACAAAAGAATAATTACTCAAATAAGTTTTATGGTAATATATATATTTATTTTATATACTTCTATATCTTTTCACTTTTCATCATTTTACATTGTATACTATGTGTAATGCTGTTTATTGGCCTATTCTTTATGTTAGATTCAGTTTTGCAATGCATATTTATTTATTATTGCCTGTTAAAATATTAATTTTTAAATATCATTCTATATATATTTTTTTCTTTTTCATTTGTAGTGCTGTTATTTCCTTTGGCCTACGTGAGTTATTTTATAATAAAACTTTAAAAAAATACAATAAGCATAAACAAAATAAATATAACAGATTATTATAAAATACTCATCTTGAAGTAATATTTGCAATCCAAATTTAACCATTATCTCTTCATACAGTACATTGGTTGATCTTACCAATGTTGTGGCATTTTATTTCTGCAGGATGTCTTTGCTGTTGTGTGACTGTTTTCTTTCATCATTTGTTTTATTGTTTTATTTCTTTCGTGTTTGATGTCATGAGATGGGGTTGCCAAGCCTTGTACAGGAACTTTGTTCCTCCTTGGATTCGCCCTCCTCTTGTATTTGTTTACGAGGGAACTAGTATATTATTGTTGTTATTATTATTATTACAGGTATTATTTATAATTATTATAAAATGATTATACATAACAATTTAATACAATATATATTGTACTGTATGTATTATAATGAAATTAAATATTAAGCATAACAATTATGCATAATAATAATGCTTTTTAAAAATGTATATATGGAATGTTGTAGAAATGGTTCACTAATATTATTTTATTATAAATAGTTTGAACTGGTTGTTGTAACATTACTAGCCAAATTCATTGAATTGCAATCTTTTTATAGTATTTATCAAGAGTTTTTAATTTTTCGGTGTCAGTGTGTTTGCAAGATTTTTTATACCTTGTTAAGTGAATCTCCCACCTGCCAATAATTATGATTTAGAATTTTATAAAAAAAAAAATATTTTTGGCCAATTAGCAATATCAGCCACCACGGAAAAATGGAAATTTCAGGGGAAAAAAGTGTTTCTTTATTTTTATTACACCCACTGCTGCCTTAAAATCTCCGATGATAAGATATGGATATTTCTTCCTAAACATAGTTTCATTCCACATACTGTAGTTCTAAAGGTGTACATTCCAGTAAAATTATGTTTGTTAGAAGTTTGTTTAATGTTCAAATGTTAAAAGCCCTTATGTATTGTTTTCTGGAATTTCTGTGGTAGCATTGTTTTTTAGTCTGAATTGTTACAATACAGATCAATTTTATGTTTTTTGTGTAAATTTAAAGACTGTAAATACATTAGGACATAATGGTTTTAGAACCTTAATATTATTTTTGTAGACCCTTTGTATATAACTTAAAGGCGCTTGTATTTCATAATAATGAATATTTTCAGTACTGTACTTTCATGATTATTGTCATTGTTTATAAAGATTTTCAGTAATATGTTGAATTCAATCTGTCTGTTTTAATGAAAGATGAGAAATAAAAATAGCATTTCTATCAATATGTTGCATGTGTTGGTTTATTACTGATGTTGAGTAACAGTGGTGGTGCATTAATAACAGCAGTGAGTTGACTGGTTTCAAAGGTAATGGTGTACTGTATAAATACCGATGCAGTAAAGTGATTTGTGTCTGGTATAACAAGCAGTGATATTGTACACATACTGGTGCAGTTAAGTGATTTGTGTCTGGTATAACAAGCAGTGATTGTGTACACATACTGATGCAGTAATTTGTGTCTGGTATGACAAGCAGTGATGGTGTATACATACTTCCAGTGCCACCGAGAGTGGGAAGGGGGAAAGCTAGGCTTATCTTCATAAGACTTCTATGAATGGATACCTTTTGAAGCAAGAAACCAAGTTGTCTTTATCCAGTACTGCTCGATTTGATTTTATTTGATTTTATTTGGCTTTATATAAAAAAAAAACACACAATTAAAATACATGAAAATCATTTCAAAAAAGCGTCCAAGATCATATTACAAGAAAATCAGGTCATTACATATTAAAACAATAACAATAAAATCTAGTCATTAAATTGGAAACATCAACAATCGACAGAAAGACAAAAAAAAAGCATATATCAAGCATTACATCAATTTACAATTGATAAATGCTATTTTTTTTTTTGTGTGGGAAACTATTAACCTATGATCAGTGGCGGCACCAGCGGGGGCAGGGGCTTAAGCCCACCCTTGGTCTGGTACACATCTAGATGTGTATAAGAGACAGCTATCGGCTAAAGCTCGTCGGACCCAACAAAAAATAGGCATAGTTTTCCCATCCCAGCCATCCAGTCCCATTTTTTTTTTTTTTTAAATATCGTTTTGGTAAGAGGGAGGGCACACCCTCCTTCCGGCTCTGGCTCCCAGATATCGCTGAGCACTATACTTGTTACACCCATAAATACCAAGGGCCCCCCGCCCATAAATTATATCCTAGAGCCGGCACTGCCTATTATACAGTGGTTTCTGTCTGTGGTTTAACATGTTTTTGTGTATACACACTGATGCAAATGTTTGTGTCTGTGGTGTAAGAAACATTCATGGTGGATGGTGGATTCATGTAAGAAACATGATGCTGTGGTTTGTGTCAGGTGTAACAAGCAGTGATAGTGCATACATACTGATGCTGTGCTTTGTGTCTGGTATAACAAGCAATGGTGGTTCATACATACTGATGCAGTGGCTTTGTGTTTTGTGCCTGGTTTAACATCATTTGATGTCACTATTTTTACTTTACAAAAGTCAAAAAGATCATCCTAATACAGGGGCAGATTTAGGGAGGTGAAAAAACAAAAAAAAAAAAGAATGATAACCCAGAACGCCTGAAATGTTATTTTCGGGCGTCCAGGAACACAAAAATGTTTGCTGGGGAATTCCCCCTGTCCCATAGGTCATTGTTATCTCGATCGGCCCAACTTTAGCCCCCCCCCCCCCCAACCTTTTGGAGTCTCTGGATCCGCCCCTGTAATAACCACACGCCGATACAACTTTACTAAAACAACTGAGGGTTCTTTGTGAATTAATTTTAATTTAAGGCAACTACTGATTTCACACTACAGCACATTTCCCTGCTGGCGCCATCACTTTTTGAACGCAGAAAGTTCAGGATATTACGTCATCATGTTTAGGGAAATTCCCTACCACTGCCGCGGCGGCGCGGCCATGTTGCAAGAATGAGCCGACGATATTTAGGCCGACAACACCTCTTTGAAGTTTGACCTGAAATTATTTATGTATATACTGTATCTAGAAAGCTAAATTCTATAGTTGAATATTTCGATGAAGACTAGCAGGGCCATACATTACTAGAATAATAAAAATTTCGCTGGCGATCATGTATGTATAATAGAATTACTACAGTAGTTAGGCCCACTTGTCTAGTACCTCTCTATCGGTACGGTCCGTCTGCCAAAAACGAATGGATTAGGCCTTGGTGCAGCCAAGATAGACACAATAGGCCGACCAGCCCTCCATAAACTAACGTTAGAATACTGCACTTCAGCAGTAAAGAACAATTAAAACCTCATAAAAAAGGCAACTAATCCGTTTACCTATAATTGAATCCATGGACACCAGTGTTAAACACTCACTCACACTCAGTACTTATCCAATTAATATAGTGAGATAACGTAACGTTAGTTTATCGAGGGCGGGTTGAGCTAATGAGGGAGATTTATGGGTCAATTTTCTTGGGTTTTACATTTTATCAGTAATCTGACAAGACTGTGGTCTACAATGTAGCCAAAGTTCCTGATGGATAAATCATTGTCATGGATGTTAGACAATGTGTAGAATATAATTATGGGTTTAGCTAGGTAGTGTGAGTTTCTGTAATTCTTCCATAAAGGCAAAATTCTGAAGTTCTGTAGTAGTAAACACTGCAACTACTCATCATTGTCAGTGCTGCACCTGTAACCAGCATGACAAGTGGATTTTAGCACTTGATCTAAGCACTAAAAATAATCACTATGTATCAGTGATTTCAGTTTTCGGTTTAGAAAACACAAACTGTCTGTCCATAACTTTAAAATGTTCTGTCTATCATTAGCTAAAAAATTGAAAATTAATATTCTATTCTATATTTGAATTTCCTAATTTTAATAAGTTATTAACTTAAATAAAAAATTGAATTGAAAAAAAAATTTCTGTCAATTATAATATACAGTTTAATTACTGTATACTTGTGCATAAACCCTTAAATTTGCTAGTAATCAATTAAAGAATTTTTAAAGTAAAATATCTGTAAAATCAGCAAAATGGGTTTTTTTTTCAATTTTTTTCTGCTTGGAAGTTGATAACTTATTTGATCCTTTCAAATGATCTTGAGCTATTCAAATTTTTTAAATTAATTTTTTTAGTTTTGAGGCAGTGTGTCTTTAAATATCATCAGTCCATATAAATTTGTCTGAGAATATTTGAATGTATAGAGAGAGACCAATGAGTATAATCTAAATTTCAAAGAATCACGGTATATTACCATATACTATATTGTGTAAGGACAAAATGTTTGTGCCAATTTACCATCCAGACGCGTGCACAGCTCTGGAAGAAATATATCGTAGCACCATTCTTTTAAATGTCTTACCATTACTTGCATACTTTGAGTTCATATATATGTGCATTAAAATATCATAAATAACAATTTTACAATTACACGAGTCTACAAAATTTTGGATGATTACTTGTCACGCTGCAAAAGTAACAATTTTCAGAATTCATTATTCAAATTAAGTTTGTACATTACGGTGAAAGGAGCAGCAGAGTACTCAGTAGTAGGTAAGTGGAACATACCACTTCAGCGAGTGCAGCTGATACAAACGTGTGTATGTTCACTAAATATAATGGAATAAAATATATTATAACGTGACCATGTTAATCACTAAAATTTGTCAATATGTGACGAATAAGGAATGTCTGGAAACTATATTCATCACAACATTTTAGCATGTATTGTATAATCTATTTTTAACCACATTCTTTACCAGTAGGCATAGTGTCTAAGTACCTGCTTTAACATTATAAACAAAGTTATTATTGGCTCATGATCAAATTTAAAAAGTAATTTGACTTTCTTCCTAAAATTACAGTTAAAGATGAAAAAGTATTCAATATTTAATGCTTTAGAATATTCTGTTATGGCAATACTTGCAGGATTTGGCCGACTGGGCTTCACATGATGATTATTTTCTGGGCGGATCGATGTGGGGGAGGGCGATGGTCGTGGACGTCTGGTCATTCCACCACCCTTAACATGTTAGAGCAGGGGAGAATTTTTGGGATGGGGGGAGAGGTGTTAAAAAAAGTTAAAAAGAAAGAAAAATTGGATCGCCCAAAATGCCTTGAGAGGTTATCAGGGGTCGCGAGACTCCCGAAAATCGGGAAGACTTTCTGCACTCTCGCAAGCAAGCAAGAATCTTCCGAAAATAACCGATATCCTGCAAATGCCTGATATTTGTATATTTTAAATATTTTATCAATTGTCTCATGGAAGTCAATGCCGATGGGTATCACTACACTCTGCAGTATAAAAATTAGATGTGTTAACAAAAGTTTAGGTACTGAAGATCAGTTGAGCATTCAAACACTTCGAATAAAAACAAAATTCTGTTTTTGGCTAGTTAGAATTGGCAAAAAAATGGAAATTTCAGAGTTTTCTTTATTTTTAGTACACCTGCCTCTTCCTTGAAATCTTCAAAAATATGATGTATTTTTCTTCCTAATCATATAAATTGAAAGCATTTAACCATCTTATTACTGCACTGTTTACATTTACTATAAAAGTGTTTTTTTTTTTATTTTCATTTCTGTCTGGATGTTTTTGCTAAATAAGAAAATATAATTAAAAAAATTTTTTTTTTTGCCCTCCTCTGATGATCTTTAATAATTTTTATTAAATATTATTAAGTTTGCGAAACAATTTTTTAAATAAATCTCGCCTTACCTGCTACCATAATCAGGAATATTACTGTACTGGTACATGCGGTGAGCAGTGTTTTTTGTCTGGCACTTTTAATGCCAAAACTGGTCCAGTGGACTACTGTCCAAAGCTATTGGTACAGGTTTTTGACACCCACAAAGTAGCCTTTTTATATTGTAGAAGGGTACATATTCTAATCCCCATTCTGCTGTTCATGTTTACAGTCACTAATATTTGAGTGTAAAAAACTACTATGCCACTGTATTTAAATTCTTTTATTTATGTTTACAGTCACTAACATTTTTCAGTGTAAAAAAACTACTATGCCACCAGGGAGAAATACCACTGTATTCAAATTCTTTTATTTCAATACTTTAACTGGCAGTTATAACTAATTATGAGAAGTTTTCAGTAAAAGTTTTAAATTATACAAAAATACTAAAGACAAATCATGATTGAGTATTCTTGTTTGTTTCAGGAATGAATGAATGAAAAAGACCGAAGCAGTAGCTGCACAATGACAATGAACATGGAAACGAGTAAAAGTAATAAACTAAAAAGACATTTCAGTATTCTGTCATCCTCCTTTTAGAATCAAGACATTCTACAATACTTTTTCTTGTTTCCAGAGGTTGTGATATTATTAATACATATTATTTTTATTTACTTTATAGAAGCAACTTTTGCAGACTTTAAGTTGTTTGTGTCAAATTGGTACGATGAACACATACCCATCAATATGCTGAAAGTATTATTCAAGGACCATGTAGAAAATACTTTTGCATTACATATTTCTTCTAAGACAATAACCTTAATGAATATGCTGATAACATCTGGAAGTTTGAGTCCAACAGACCTCACTCTCCTCTATGATACTATTAAGGCAACAAAGCAGTTTGGTCTGGAACAAGAAATTCAAAATGAAATGCCATCATTTCAACTTGCCAAAAATATCAGGGATAACGTAATTACAAAATTCACAGTGCATCGGCAAAGACTTGTAAAGCTGGGAATGGCGCTCACTCCAAGTGATGTACAAAAGATCAGTGATCTGTGTGAAGTAAAACATACAGATAGCTGGAGTTTGATTATGGATCTAGAACACAACATGGTCATTTGTGAAGAGGACATGACAGCATTCATTGAAAAGTTGAAGAAACATAAACTCTACCAAGCCGTGAAAGCTCTAACAGAAGGTATTTCTTTTACTTTATTTTAAATTTAATGAATGTTGATGAATATATATTGATGAATGTTGATGGAATTCACTTCAATTGATTGTAACTGAAAAACTTAGTGCACTACTGGAAATGCTTTGAAACCAAAGGATGAAACAGAAGATAATATTTTAATAAAAACTAATTTCAGATTTATGACATCACAAATCTCCTGGCATGTTATATCTTATCTGACTCTATTTAGTGTCCTCCACTAATTAGCATGCTGGATCAGAAGAGAATATTTTATGATTATATTTTATAGAAATTTCTGAAAACAAGTTTTTTTGTGTGTGATTTGCAAATTAATTTTAAAAGCTAGACCCGAAATGCCTTGATTATGTAATGTCCAGGCTGCTGAACACCCGCAGCAAGGTGTCACAAAACATCCAATTTACAAAATTTCTGCCACCATGAAAATATTAAGATTTAAATTACCTTCCGGTACTTACTGCACTTGCCTAAAATTTAAAACTGAACTTAAAATCTAAATCAATAGATTTTTGAATAAAACCAATGGTATGATTTGCTTTGATTTTATTTGTTTTCCAACATTACAAAAAATCACTAAGATAAAATCACAAAAAAACATTGCACATTAAAACATATGAAATAAGGATAACCCATAAAGTTGAAAAGAACAACCTGATTGCCAATGTTGTTCAATGCAAAAAACACGACATGACAAAATAAATAGATATTATATGCAAAATATAATATATTTTAAAAAAGCTGTAGGTAGATTTGTAATATTGCATCAAGAGTGATGGTGAGGGAGGAGCATAGTCTTGTACGCAGTTCAGCACAATGATACTATGATTATTCTCCAACGTTTGTGTAGGCCCAAGAATACAAGCAATTTTAATTCAAAGTGGAAGGCTCAAACCTCCAACTTCAGGGTTGAAAACTCGAATCCAACCATCCCACACCCATGATACGTTTTAAAACATGACTAAGGATGACACTGCATACCCATTTTTAAATTTCCTGATCAAGACAAAATTCCTTTTGAGTACACTCATTTAAATTTTCAAAGTATAACTATACAATATTACTAAAAATTATTGTAAATAATAGATGTTTAATTTCAGACATTCCAACTCCAAAGTCATCTTCAAACACAAAACAACCAAGAGGTAAGATAATTAATTTTTACATTGGCATCTATTATAATATTATCATGCATCATGCTATATAAATGTTAATATTATGATAGTTCACCAAAAAAAAATTTTTTTTAAGTTATATTTTTAGTTAATTATTTTTTACTTCTGTTAATTTGTCATTGTTAAAGGACAGCTTAGACAAGCTTCATCCTTTTTTGTGTTGTTGAATAAATTTTATATTGAATTGAAATATTATTATTATTATTATTATTATTATTATTATTATTATTATTATTATTATTATTATTATTATTATTATTATGTTATTTGTTACTCTGTCCTATGTAGTAACTCTACAACTACTACTACTGCTGTAAACACTGCCACTAGCATTCATGCTATTATTCACGGTTGACATTGAGGGATGGTTCAAGATAGGGTGTGAACAAATTCCCTTTCAATTTAGAATATTTTGTAGAAGTCTTTTTATAGTAAAAATAATTTTAAGAAGCCATAAATTATCCCATCTTGATAGCCTGTAGAATGCTGCTTTTGTGTAATTGTTCCTTCTTGTTTGCAATAGTTTAAACATTATTTTACGATATATATTTGTATTAAAATAATCACATATAAGTTGGGCATTTACAGTACTGTGTAAAGGTCTTCTATGTCTAAAGCTTTGTCTACACTAGCAAATTTTATGTGACAAGAAAATTTGATGTGCCCATATATGGGTACGATGACGTCATATCACATATTATCAAATTGTATCAAAAAAAGTTGAACGTGTTCAATTCTTATTTTCCATCACATTTTATGTGATGCTTTTTTAATAAAATTTGATAGTGTAGACAAAGCTTTAGCATGTCAAATTCCTTTCCTATCACTACAAAAATATCCAATTGTTAATTACGGTAAATAAATTATATGCTGTACTTATCTTAATGTACTGGTAATCCATTATTGAATTATATTTCAACCATTCCAAAGCCACCATCAAACTCAGGAGAAGCAAGTGGTAAGATAATGCATCTTATTTTATTATTAATTGTTTTTGTTTGTGCAAATACTTATTATACAGTACATTAAAGTAGTTGATCTGGGCAGTGGCATATCTAGGATTTTGAAAAGCAGGGTGCTGAATAGAAATATTACATCCACTGAATTATATGCCAGGTGCAAAACCAGGGATGGAGCCTATTGATAACTATGACTACACAATTGAATTGGTCATTACTGTCTAAATAAACTTACTTTGCCACTTATTTCCATTAACTTACTATAATTGTTTTGGCATTTGAACAAAAGGTAGATATTAAGGCACTGTGAAAATGTATAGTAGTTCTATTCTTGTTGTGGTTTAATTGTGATCATTTAGTAACTGTGGGAATATATTGTGGGAATATTTTGGTACAGATGCTGTATTTGGATGTGTACAAAATAATATTAAAAAACTAGCATTTCATAGTGGAACATAATTTTCATGTTTCTGACTTTATTGTCATTATACAGTATTTCTCTTCTTCAGATCAACAACAGCTTGATTTTTGTCCTGTGACATTCCAGTTTGATGTTCTATTCACCACTGATTGTTTCTTGTAGAAAACTGAAATGTTATGAAAATACTTATTTAAACTAACACCCTGAAATCCTGGGTTGCTATTATTTTTAAACATTTTTTTTATATAGAAGCATTTGAACCACTCATGCTTTCTCTGAGTCAGAAACTACTAATAAATGTACAGTTAGAGCCTAATACTCCTCTCGGTGGCATAACGCCTGTGCGTTCTTGTGCAATTAGAGCATGGGTTACATGTGCTAGATCACTGTTATGAAATATAAAAGTATATAATCATTTACACCACTCATGCTTTCTCTGTGTTAGAAATTCATACTAATAATTGTACAGTCAGAGCCTAATCCCCCTCTTGGCCTCTCACTGGCATCAACGCAGGCCTCAATTCTTATTTCATGTCTAATTTTCAAGAATATTTAATATTTTAATCTCAATTAACTTTTATTTACAGACATTCCGAATACACCTTCAAACTCAGGGAATAGATTTGGTGAAGGTAATATGTGATTTTTCATTGTTGTTCTTTTTTAAATATATTTTATAATTACAAAGTTAACTGATAAATGTGGTACTGTATATAAATATCGATTACAATATACAATTTAGTTGAAAAAGGTTTCACTAAATCATGTAAGTTTGTTTTGATCAATGTATAATAACTACTTGTTTAATTTAAACCAGTCTGAGACCTTAGCTAATTTAATGTTCATAGTTTAAAATAATATGTCTTTGTTATAATGAGAATAAGAAATGACATTTATAAAAACCAGAGCATTTTGAAGAGTTGATTTAAATGTATGAAACTCTGGGAGGTCATTTATCTAGACCTCAATGATGCAGGTTTGTGACCAAAACCTTGTTTAAAATGGTGGTTTTCATAAGCAGGCATATTAATGTATGATGTATGAAAGTATAAGGAAATTTCAAATATAGGATTTATATTGGAGAAAATTGACAGTCTGTCTTGGGTATGAAATACCAGTACCTAGATTGACCATTACCCCGGAGGCATTTTTTTAAAAAACAACATTTTATTTATTTTTTCACAATTTAATGCATACCGGTAATTAAATTTGATATTTATGCTTGCTTCAAACCACTAAATGTAGCTATAATGGTGTAAAGATAACATTTGGTGCTGCAAGCATTTCATCAAGATAACTTTCATAGTCCGAGGCTCAAAAATATTTTTTCCAGGCCTGTCTATAATAATAATAATAATATAATAATAATAATAATAATAATAATAATAATAATATAATAATAATAATATAATAATAATAATAATATAATAATAATAATAATATAATAATAATAATAAAATCTTTCATTTTACAACAGAAGCTCATTCACCAAATTGGTGTTCTTCCACAAGGCCGTATGTACCTTTTACGTATCATGAAATCTTAACTATAAAATAAACTACTAAATAAAAACTACTTAACTTACATAAATATACAAATAAAAGGAAAATCGAAAGGCTTTAAAAAAAACCAAAGATACTACAAAATAAACTGAGATCCCTTGGCTAATTTTAAAAATTTGTTAAATCTGTTCCTTGAATGTGGAGTACGTTGTAGAAAAGACAAATTAAAAAATGTCCTATGATGTTGTCTACTGTTAAATGTATCCTAGTGTTTTTCTTCTTGTGTGCTTTGAGCCGCCGTTTTTTGATTTATAATGATTTTTCAACCAGTTTTGGTAAAAAGAGAGATGTCATATGATGATGATTATACTAGTGGTGATTTGCAACATGCATATTGTCATGCTCTCTATGTGCTTATCCTTTTCATTTGTAAATGCCTATTGAACTTTACTGTACTGTAGCATACTTTGCAACAGTAATAAGTGTTGATAGAGAGAGATGTGCACTGTAGACCCATACGCAGCTCAGCACAATGATGTGAGTTATGGATTATTCCCTGTCCTACATGTACTGCACCTTTCCTTTTGGCCCTAATGTACAAGCAATGGAAATTCACAGTGGAAGGCTTGACCCTACAACCGCAAGGTTGAAAACTTGAATCTAACCACCAACAATATCGTAATATGCTTCAAAACACAACTAGGATGATACTGTGAACCCATTTTTAACTTTCCTGATCTAATGAGACAAAATCCCTTTGAGCACATTATTGAATTTTTTAAAAGTATATGTGTATAGTATAAATAGAGATCAAATATATCAATTTGTTTGGCTTGTTTTGAATACATAACAAAACATTTTTAATAATTAATTCTGTGCACGTGTAAGAAAACCAAAAATGAACAGATTGAGCACGGTGCAGTGTTTGAACGATTTCATTATCTGGAAAGGGTATATAAAAATTAACTTTTTAAACGATCAATTACTAGCGAAATACTATTAAAACATACACTCCCAATTTATGCATAACACGGCAGAAATAAGATGTGTCCACTGTCAAGCTAATTTTTTACAAGTCTTTGATACAGCTGGTAACATTCCTCATTTCAGAAAATAGAACATGTTCCCTTGGCCTGCTGTGAGCCCGGGCAATTTTTATTCTTGAATGCCTTTGATAAAACTAAAAAATGTTGGAAAAAATTTTTATCCAATTACATTAATTCTGATATACACTGTAACTAATCACAAGAAAATTTGTTTTCTGTTGCCGCGTCAACCTAAGCGATCTGATTAGTACAGACAAAGTTAAGACTTGTTAAAGTACAACTCCTTATAAGCCAGCTCAAATCCCGCTGAAAACACACTAATATTGCCTATATTTTCGTAATTCAACCCAAAAGTGATGGGGGCCAAATATTTGAAAACAAACATTTTGTAAATTGTTTGCAATAGCTATATTTCTAACATCCTATAAACCATTTCAACCTAATATATCTGACCTTTAAGTTTTGAGTTTTTTGTATTAAAATCAGTCGATGTTTTTGGAGAAATGCTATAGGATAGAGTGATTTTCACCTTTTGCAGTAAAGTAGACTAAACAAATTGATATAACAAGAAATTAAATTAAAAGAAAAATACTTGCCTGAAAATAATACTGTAACAGAGAAATATAGCATCAATAACATGCTAAAATATATATCATATTGGTATAAATTCTTGTTAACTGTGAAATTTATATCAGATTTACACATGAATAGAACTTGAGACATAAATATTATCAGTATTATCAAAAGGTATTATTTTTTCAAATTTATTTTTATTTTTGCAAAAGTTATAATTATTTTACATTGCAAAAGATATTTAAAATGAAATTAATATATTTTTTTAGAGCATCCTGATACATAATAGAGAACTTTTTTGGTTTTGCGGCCCCTATTTTTTTAGTGAGTTAAGGGCGGGTGGATTAGGGCAAACAAACACTTTTTTTTCCTTGGCCTTATGTTATTGTTATTACAACTTCTTTATTTAAGTATCCTGTAGTGGCACCATTAGGGCAGAACAACACTCTTAGCAACTATACTTCTAAAAATTAAACCACATGAATTTTTTAAACTACTTTAAGACTAATTGTGCTACTACTACTATTTCTATTGCTGGTATTACCAGATTATCATTATGAAATATTACAATCACCATATTATTATTATTGTTGACTGATTTTTTTTGTCATTAGTTCTGTAATTTTGTTGTTTACATTTACAATTGACACTGTGTGATTGTGAAAAATAAAGTTCCCTTTTTAATTTAAAATGTTTTAGTATAGATGCTATACAATTAGAATGTCTGCACAAAATACTGATTAGCTAGCATTATAATGGAACATAAACAATGTGTTTTCTTTATGGTCAAACCAACCACAGTTGGATGTTGTTCTGTTTGCAATTGATTATTTATTGAAGAAAATTGAAACACTATAAAAATTAAAATTTAAACCCAAACTTCTGAATTGAACCTTGTGTTACTATTCATTTGCTGGATTTTATTTTACAGTATGTTACAATTAGAGCATGCGTTAGTACTAATAAAGTACTTGGTTACTATTATATTAAGCATAATATTTAAAGATAACTACCCACATTTAGTGTGTTTGCAATATACTAATAATTGTAAAAAATGTCTCATAAGGTAGGCATTGTTGGTTTTATATAGCAATAGCATTGTAGCTTCATCATTGTTAACCAACATTGTCGTCATTATCTTGGACAATCAATAATTTTAGGTCAGAAAGTTCATATTTCTTAGGAACTTGGTATTGATTTGTTGAATAATTTAATGTCATAAAGTTATTCCTCCTTGTTACTGAATTCAGTGGTGTTTTTGTATATCATTGAATGATAGTAGGCAGAGCAAAATAAATTTATGTTAAGAAAGTTCATTTAACCAGATCTCATGGTATGGACTTTTTCTAGCTTGGTACCCCTGTGGTTGTATTTAACCATGTGATCAGTTATACTGCAGCTGATTTGTGAATGAGCTCAGATTCAGTGTTTCTGGATGCTCTAGTGCACACACCTGTTGTGTTATTGGTGACATCTTTTTTATGTTTTTCCAATCGGGTCTTCAATTTCCTGCCAGTTTTACTGATGTATACTGCTTTGTGTAATTGTTACTTCTTGTTTGTAAGATTTAGAGTAGTTGATATTAAATATTGTATTTAGTCTTTATATGACTTTCTGGTTTAAAGGCTACTGCTGGGCAAACCAGTTGTACTTACAATACATTAAAACTAGATGAATTTCTTTGAACTGCTTTATTACTATTCTGCTACTTCTTCTACTGCTGGTACACTATCATTAGTATTATTACTATCATTAATAATATTACTGTTTTTGTTTTCACTAGTGTAGTTTTATTGTCATAGTTATTGTAGTCTTTTATTCATGATTGACACATTGTGGGAAGGTTCACAATACAGTGTGAACAAGTTCCTTTCTCAATTCAGAATATTTTGGTACAGATTCTGTAGTATTCGGATGTGTACAATGGTGTACGGTAAGAATGGCCCCGGAAAAAATGGCCCCGGAAAAAATGGCCCCGGAAATAATGGCCCCGGAAAAAATGGCCCCGGAAAAAATGTCCCCGGTAAAAATGGCCCCATATGACAGGTAGGTAAAAATGGCCTCAATAATCAAATTCTAAATTAAAACTGATTTTCTTGAGTCATTATATGCATTTTTTTATCTTAACTAATTTAGTTTTTAAAGGAATTTTCCGGGGCCATTTTTTCCGGGGCCATTTTTTCCGGGGCCATTTTTTCCAGGGCCATTTTTTCCGGGGCCATTCTTACCTACATTCGTGTACAGTATGATACTAAAAAGCAACATGTTTCATACTAATAGAACACAATGTTTCTTTCTGTATGGTCATACCCTGTATTTCTCTTCAAATCAAGAACAGCTTGATTTTTGTCCTGTGTCTTTCCAGTTGGGTATTCTATTAATCACTGATTATTTCTTACATGAAAAACTGAAATGTTATGAAAATACTTATTAAACCAGAACCCTGAAATCATGGGTTACTATTAATTTCTTTGGTTTTTTCTTTTTGAGTTGTTTGAATTAGAGAATAGATTACATGTACTAGGTCACTGTTATAAAACATAAAGTAATAATAATTAATAATAACAATACAGTTTTTATATAGCGCCCAATAAATCACAGATCTGTCTAAGCGCTTAACCGGCGATGTCGTTGTTATTACCCCTGGTCATCGGATCGATAACCAAACCAGCACAAAGTGCAACCTCCTCCATTTCCACATACAGTATAAGAATTTGAACCTGTCTGTGTCAGAAATTCGTATTAGTAATTATACAATCAGAGCCTTCCCCCTCTCGACCTCTCACTGGCATCAATGCAGGCCTCAACTCTTATTTTGTGTTTAATTTTCAAGAATATTTAATATTTTATTTTCTATTGACTTACATTACAGACATTCCAAATGCATCTTCAAACTCAGGAAATAGATTTGGTGAAGGTAATAAGTGATTTTTCATTGTTGTTCTTTTTTAATATATATTTTATTGTTACAAAGTTAACTGATAAAGTGGTATAGTGGTATATAAATGTTGATTAGAGTGAGACAGTTTTAGTTGAAAATGGTTTCACAAAATCAAGTAATTGTATTTTGATCAATGTATAATGATTGTTTAACTTAGACCAATCTGAAACTTTAGCTAATTCAATGTTTTATAATAATATGTCTTTGTTATAATGGGAATAAGAAGTAACATTATAAAAACCAGAGCATTTTTAAGGGTTGATTTAAATGTATGAAATTCTGGGAGTGTCATTCAACTAGACATCAGTGATCCTAAATCCTAAAGCCATAATATTTTATTACTACACCCAAAAGCACACTTCCAAAGAACCCTCACTGAAAACTTACACTCAAGAAGTAAACAAGAAATATTTCCTATAAAACAATGCTGCAACTTCTGTAGCTTATTCAATTTGTGTATACAGCTACTTCCAAATGTATCCTATGTGTAAATTTTGTTATCGTATTTAAATTAGCTGTTTCAATAAATAAATCTGTAACTGTATTTCCTATAGATCAATAAATATTGTAGAGTTAACATTATTGAAGGTAAGGTATTGAAGGTATTTCTAAAATAAAAGTTGATGTTAAAATAATAAAATGATCCAAACGAATATGGAATTATCAAAGGGTGGGTTGTGTCTGGGTTGTAATCCTATATGGTGGATTAATTAAGCTGTCACCTAGACTCAAATGCTGGACCACATTGATAACCTTCAGAGGCCTCATTAGCTATTGTAGTCCACTATTGGACAAATGTTTCAGGATGTTGACGCCAAATCAATCTTTTTCTCTGGCTGTGTTGCATCATTTCACTCTTCCCCAATAAATATATATCTCATCTCTTAATCTTTTATGTTGTTTTCCCTTGTTCATTTTGACATTCATGGGCTCTGTTACTGTTTTTATTTGTTTCTACTCCTGCTGACTACAATTTCGACAACCACAATGAAAACTACTGAGCCAAGTCGCATTTTTACCATTATTGTTATTAATATTAATAATAATAATAATATTAATTTTAATATTTTATTTATTTGTATTCATTCCCTCCCCCACTAGCTTGGTTAGGACTTTCTATTACTGCCGCCAGTGTGTGGCTATTTTTTATGGGTCGATAAAACATGGGTACCGTACGATATCTCGATAATATAGTTAGCCTAACCCTAACCCCTGTCTCTTATACACATCTTTTAAAACGTTAATTGATTATACACTGGCACAACATTACAT